ACACTATACCACTCACTTATTTATCCATACCTCACCTATGCTATTTGTGCTTGGGGATCAACTGCAGCAACACACCTAAAGCCTATAATAACCCAACAAAAAGTTGCAGTAAGAATAATCACTAAATCCCATCCCTGGCAACACACCCCCCCACTCTTCATAGATCTAAACTTACTCCCTGTTCAGTACATCCACACTTAATACTGTGCAATCTACATCTACAGGACCTTAAACTCCAATATCAACCTTGACCTAAAATGCTTTCTTGATAGTTGTGACAGAACCCACAGGCATAACACCAGACACAAACATCTCTACGACATTCCCCGTGTCCGACTAAACCTTTCCAAAAATTCAATGTATGTCAAAGGCCCTAAAATCTGGAACACCCTACCTGAGAACTCTAGAACTGCAGACACATTCATCACCTTCAAAACTACCATTAGAAAACATCTTATCTCTTTGATACACCCCGTCAACTAACTACACGAATACCACCTGGTGGTTCACACTTATGCTCACTCACCCATTTGACCAAAAAGAGAAATATTAATCTCAGTCTTAAAATAATGAATCCTGTGATACTCCAATACTGAAACTATGTATTGTGCCAAAACAAATGCATTCACATTGCTAAACTCACAAACTAGTATTTAGTCACTTAGCCATAATACCAACTTACCTCATAATTTGTAATATTTTAAAATTAAGAATTAAACTAAGTGTGCTCGAAATGCCTAGCCATGCTAGTTGTTCTAGTGGTACACTCTGTAATCAGTATTTTACTACATGTAAACCACACAATAACCAAATTCTGTAAACTCAGCATTGTAATCCTTATAGAGAATAAACTTTGAATCCATGCTGCCTTCCCACCATGTATGCTGCCTTCCCCACCCACACTGTGTTCCCCACCATCCATGCTGCATTCCCCACCATCCATGCTGCCTTCCCCACCATCCATGCTGCCTTCCCCACCACTCATGCTGTCTTCCCCACACCCACACTGCCTTCCCCACACCTATGCTGCCTTCCCCACACCCATGCTGCCTTCCCCACACCCATGCTGTCTTCCCCACCACCCATGCCTGAAATAAGTTACTTTGACTTTTTTGGGGTTATCCTAGGTTCTCTACACATGCTGCTATGTATGATAATCTGTGTAACTGTATTTGTGTATACCTGAATAAGCTTTCTTACACACTGTCTTCTCAACCATCCACACCATCTTCCCCAGTATCCACACTGTCTTCCCCACCATCCACACTGTCTTCCCTACCATCCAAGCTGCCTCCCCAACATCCAAGCTGCCTTTCCCACCACCCACGCTACTTTCCCTTTTCACTATCTGTATCTGTATCCTGGGCATTGCTTTTGGTCACAAACTCCTCAGAACCATGAAATTCATCTTCACTGACACTTCAATCTGTGTTAGAACTATCACTTGGGAAGAGGAGTCCCAAATTTGCCTGGGAGTCAGATATTTCTTACTGCTTGGCATGCTGAACATTTCTACTGAAATGGCGTTCCCACAATGCACCACTGGCTCCCCGATTTTTTTTCTATACAGCGCACACTGACCACACAGACCCATTCTCTCACATGTAGGCCTACCAACTTTCTCCTGCTATATTTGAAGCTGCTAGAATTTTGGCGTAGTACTACAGCACCCACACTGGCTCATAAGCCGTAGTACTATGGCACCAACAGTGAAAGGGTTAATTGACTGGTGTGGGTTGCATCCTGGGGGTGGTGGTATATCTTAGGGCTGGACTTTGAAATAAGCTGAGATAAGATAACAGGCCTTAGCCTGTGAAATTTGTGTTAAAAGAAGTCTGCCTTGTTTTCCATTATTGTTTGAGACTTCAAAGTGTAATACAAGTCCAGAAATTTGGCTTCCTGCCACATCTGTCGTGCTTTGCATTACAACAAAAACTGTTAAATTTCCAGCAAGAAAAAAATATGTAACAGTTGTTTTGGTGGGTCCTTGTACATTGATGTTGAGGGTAATAAACTCTGGGTCTCTCCTGCTTGTTCACAAGTCACTCTCTCAGGTATCCACCTTTGTTGGACTATTTTGAAATATTCTCTGCAACTTTAAGATTGCTCATAGAAGCATTTACGAGATTCAGCGAGAAGTGAGTAGTTTTACATTAAACTACAGTGGCATTCCTAGTGATCCTCCTTCCATTGTTGTTGGGTGTGAAAAATTATATTCTTGTGATTGTGTATTGGACACGACTTTGCAAGGACTGCCAAGTTGTGCTGTCAATTCAATATCTCTTAATAGAGGTCTGTCAGAAAATAGACTTTCAACATCAACACTGACAAGTTCACTCTGACTGTTTTATTTGAAACCCCCATTTTGAATGTGTATTGATTTTTTTTAGCAGAAACTAATTTGTTTCACCAAAAATGACTACCATTTCAGACTCACTAACTCCACTCCTCTGACCCCTGTCGTGTACCTCACCCGTTGAGGCAGTGATGTATTTCCTGTGTAAATTTAGAACTTGTTTTTGAATGTGACAGTGTGATTGAGGATGTGTGTTTGTAAAGCCTCTGAGATGTTGAAATGTGAGTGCAAATGTTGTGTTGCATGTGCAGCCATGTTGAGTACAGCTGTGGTAGACTGGATGGATGGCAGTACAGCTGTGGTAGACTGGATGGATGGCAGTACAGCTGTGGTAGACTGGATGGATGGCAGTACAGCTGTGGTAGACTGGATGGATGCCAGTACAGCTGTGGTAGATTGGATGGATGGCAGTACAACTGTGGTAGACTGGATGGATGGCAGTACAACTGTGGTAGACTGGATGAATGGCAGTACAGCTGTGGTAGATTGGATGGATGGCAGTACAACTGTGGTAGACTGGATGGATGGCAGTACAACTGTGGTAGACTGGATGGATGGCAGTACAACTGTGGTAGACTGGATGGATGGCAGTACAACTGTGGTAGACTGGATGGATGGCAGTACGGCTGTGGTAGACTGGATGGATGGCAGTACAACTGTGGTAGACTGGATGGATGGCAGTACAGCTGTGGTAGACTGGATGGATGGCAGTACAACTGTGGTAGACTGGATGGATGGCAGTACAGCTGTGGTAGACTGGATGGATGGCAGTACAACTGTGGTAGACTGGATGGATGGCAGTACAACTGTGGTAGACTGGATGGATGGCAGTACAACTGTGGTAGACTGGATGGATGGCAGTACAACTGTGGTAGACTGGATGGATGGCAGTACGCTGTGGTAGACTGGATGGATGGCAGTACAACTGTGGTAGACTGGATGCATGGCAGTACAACTGTGGTAGACTGGATGGATGGCAGTACAACTGTGGTAGACTGGATGGATGGCAGTACAGCTGTGGTAGACTGGATGGATGGCAATACAACTGTGGTAGACTGGATGGATGGCAGTACAACTGTGGTAGACTGGATGGATGGCAGTACAGCTGTGGTAGACTGGATGGATGGCAGTACAACTGTGGTAGACTGGATGGATGGCAGTACAACTGTGGTAGACTGGATGGATGGCAGTACAGCTGTGGTAGACTGGATGGATGACAGTACATCCGAGGCAGACTGGATGGATGACATTACATCTGAGGCAGACTGGATGGATGACAGTACATCTGAGGCAGACTGGATGGATGACAGTACATCTGAGGCAGACTGGATGGATGACAGTACATCTGAGGCAGACTGGATGGATGACAGTACATCTGAGGCAGACTGGATGGATGGCAGTACATCTGAGGCAGACTGGATGGATGACAGTACATCCGAGGCAGACTGGATGGATGACAGTACATCTGAGGCAGACTGGATGGATGGCAGTACATCTGAGGCAGACTGGATGGATGACAGGACATCTGAGGCAGACTGGATGGATGACAGGACATCTGAGGCAGACTGGATGGATGACAGTACATCTGAGGCAGACTGGATGGATGACAGTACATCTGAGGCAGACTGGATGGATGACAGTACATCTGAGGCAGACTGGATGGATGACTACATCTGAGGTAGACTGGATGGATGACAGTACATCTGAGGCAGACTGGATGGATGACAGTACATCTGAGGGAGACTGGATGGATGACAGTACATCTGAGGCAGACTGGATGGATGACAGTACATCTGAGGCAGACTGGATGGATGACAGTACATCTGAGGCAGACTGGATGGATGGCAGTGCATCTGAGGCAGACTGGATGGATGGCAGTACATCTGAGGCAGACTGGATGGATGGCAGTACATCTGAGGCAGACTAGATGGATGGCAGTACATCTGAGGCAGACTGGATGGATGACAGTACATCTGAGGCAGACTGGATGGATGACAGTACATCTGAGGCAGACTGGATGGATGACAGTACATCTGAGGCAGACTGGATGGATGGCAGTACATCTGAGGCAGACTGGATGAATGAGCAGACATCTGAGGCAGACTGGATGGATGACAGACATCTGAGGCAGACTGGATGGATGACAGTACATCTGAGGCAGACTGGATGGATGGCAGTACATCTGAGGCAGACTGGATGGATGGCAGTACATCTGAGGCAGACTGGATGGATGGCAGTACATCTGAGGCAGACTGGATGGATGACAGTACATCTGAGGCAGACTGGATGGATGGCAGTACATCTGAGGCAGACTGGATGGATGGCAGTACATCTGATGGCTTGTCAGCTGTACTAGTTCTTACTGAATTGTCAGTATTCATATTTGTCAGTATTCATATTTACTAATAAAATGCCTAAGAACCTTAATCTTTTACCTTGCCTGGAAACTGAACTTGCAATTTCTTAATTGAGATATTATTGTAATGATTGTGTGTTTGTTTGTGAGAATGGTGGCACCTCAATTTGTGTGTAATAATACATACGTACACTGTGTGTGTCAGTTTCTTAGGTGTGTATATGTGTTGTTAGTGTATCTTGCCTTCGATCCTGTTTTTACGCTTTGGATATATTCTTTCCTTTCCAGATCCTATTCAAAAGATCGAAAGTATGCAAGAAAGTAATGGTGGAAGATAGACTGGAGTGCTGCACATCATCATAGGTGAATGTTTGCCACTGTTAACACTTTCTCAATAGCAGTGCAAATTTGAAGTAAGCTTTCTTTTGTTATTTTTTTTTTCATTTAATACACTGTTTAAAAGATAAATAGAAACACAAATTTTTTATAATCTAAGAATATTGAAAGATTAATTTTTCTTTTAATAATGTAGTAGGCGTGTAATAAACTTTGGTTTATTGTAATTTCCTTGCTAGTGTAGCATTCTCATTCGTTGAGTCGGTGCATTGCCTCGTTCAACAACTCGATAAACAATCACCTGGACTGATGTAAAATTGTCATGAGGAGCCTGGGAGTATTATCCAAGTTTGTTCATGGTATTATGATCTGATATATAATATAATTTTGTACCTAAAACTTCTTGCATCTGGCTGATTATTTTTGGTTGTTTCTGAGTACATCTTCTGATATATTGAAATGAAACAAGTTGAACCTACCATGGTATGGGTTGGATTAGAACCCCTGGCAAGTGAGTTATAGAACTCCAGATCAGTGCCATAAGTTCTAATCCTATCCATACTGTGGTTTATTTGCATTCGTGTTGTTATGATTTCGTGAATCATGTGAAAGTTGTTAATATCAAGGCAACCTGCTAGTAATGTCAAGGCAGCCTGCTAGTAATATCAAGGCAGCCTGCTAGTAATATCAAGGCAGCCTGCTAGTAATATCAAGGCAGCCTGCTAGTAATATCAAGGCAGCCTGCTAGTAATATCAAGGTAGCATGCTAGTAATGTCAAGGCAGCCTGCAAGTAATGTCAAGGCAGCCTGCTAGTAATGTCAAGGCAGCCTGCTAGTAATATCAAGGCAGCCTGCTAGTAATATCAAGGCAGCCTGCTAGTAATGTCAAGGCAGCCTGCTAGTAATGTGGTAATGAAGAACTGCAGAGAAATTTGTCGTATATAAAGGGCATTCAAGCAGATAAGCTGTGGTAAATATGTTCTGTTCTTCTAACTATGCAAATAGTGTACTAATGAGTGGTCATCACTGAATAATTCTAGAAACTGTGTAAGGAGAACTGTTTGGCTGGTATTGATCTTTAGTGTAGTTTTTAATAAGTGCTGTCATAATAGTCTAAGAATTAGAGGGACAGTTGATGTAGAGTTGCAGCAGAATCCATTACAAAGCTGCTCGCTTTATATTTGTCCATCAGGTAGTGTTATCAAACAACTAGCAAATGCTGACTAGGGAAAACTAGTGACTAGTGTTGTCTTCATGCATAGGAATATTAACTATCTTACCCTTGTTAATACTAGACAAGTCAATATGGCTCATGTTTGATGAAGTATAAACAGGCAATAATTTGCTCTGCTTACATAAAATGTCTATTTAATATTTTACATACATGTTAGAAATTATTTTTATTACTGTAATATCTTTTCTTAAATTTGTGACTAGTTCCATTAATTTTGTGTACTGCCAGTTGAAGAGCAAGAGTTTGTGTCTAGTTAATAAGACATATTTCCTGAGGATGACCTAACATTAATGAATAACTTCTTGTACACTGTTTACTTCTTCATTTGTTGTATAACACCTGACTTCGTATTTCAATATTGAACATACGCTTAAAAAAATTGTGAATTGGATAAGATAGTGAAGGTTTCAAGTGTGCTGCCAATCATTGTTTGGTTCATTTAATTATAAAAAATTTGTTGTTAAGCTTGGCAGACCAAAGATTATTAAAAGAAATTTTGATAATTTCTTAGTGAGTTGCAGCACTATTCTACTTTGAACATTTATATTTGATGTCAGACTATCAGAAATCTCTCTCCTGCTCATTTAAAGTATCTTACAGTAATATATACATAGAAAACTTTATATTAATATATTCTTGAAATTTTATAAGTGTTGAAGTTGCAATAATTTTATCAAATGCTTCTGTACATCTGTAAAACATATTTATACTTTGGTTGATAACTGACTTAGGGAACTATATTTATTTATGAGGTCTACGTTCATTTCATTTACAGAATACCTGCAATACTTACAAATTACAAAAAAAAAGATTCAGTCTATGTACAGTGCTCAGATATTTTATGTACTTATACATGTAATATTGTGCTTCGTGTCAGTAATTAACTCGGTGAAAACAATAAAGTTCATGATATTGTAAACATTATAAGTTCTCTTAGTAATATTGCAAGATTTGAGTCTGCAACTTGCAAATACTTGCCTCTACAGTGGTGAATCTCTTAAATTCACATACTTATTAAATGTAATTAACATCTAAAATATGTAATGCATTTTTCTCAGTTCAGTAGATTTAGCATAAGACTCCTTCACATGAAAATGTTGAGGTTAATTCAGTTACTTGAGTATTTTTTGATCATATTGTGTTCACTAGTACTCTAGGACAGTTTAGTACTCTGCTACAAGGATTTTGTTCAAATGATGTGGAACTTAGTATACTTATTCTTAAAGCAAGTTAGATAAAAGTAGAGAAAATCTTGGTAAGCCTCTGTGATGTCTCCAGGACCTTTATACTTTACTAAATGAATATAGAATTGAACTGTATTGTAGTTGTTGGTACACACAAATATCTTGGTGTAGTTAAGGTGAACTTAACATATGTGGCCTCTGTTCTTGGTCTGAGTACTTGGCAGGATGATAACATGACTGAGTACTTGGCAGGATGATAACATGACTGAGTACTTGGCAGGATGATAACATGACTGAGTACTTGGCAGGATGATAACATGACTGAGTACTTGGCAGGATGATAACATGACTGAGTACTTGGCAGGATGATAACATGACTGGGTACTTGGCAAGATGATCAACACTCAAATAAATCTGTATGCCAAAAGATGGATGAAAAGCAACTATTCCATTTAATAAATATTAGTAAGTTGATTATAAATTTTACAAGAGTTTTGGTAAATAAAGCTTAAGAGAAAATTAGTTGCTGCTTTAAATATTAGAAGACAATATGTTAGGCCAGCAGTTTCCTTTCAATAGATGGTAATTAAGTATATTAAGTTGATTTTTCTATTTAAAGACAGACACATTAAAGAATACTATCAATCATTGTGAATGTTTGTATTGTATGATGTTCCTAACTTGCAAATCTGGAAATTTCAAACACAATACAACCTCTTAAACTTAATTTGTTAATGTATAATATGTGTTGTATTATTTTTAATGCAAGTGCTGTCCTCTGCATGATAGCTGTTGCCATTGATGACAATCATGATAATGAAAACTGGAAGTGAGTCAATTCTTGCTTATTAATATGCATTATTCCCTTAAATAAAATGGTGCACTAAAGAAAAATAAAAGAGCTTGTAATAGAGACATTAAGCAAATTTCTTGATTTGCTTAGTATAAAACTTAAGTGTTAGGGAAACAAAATCATTTAATAATTATATCATTTACCATAAGAAATTAAGGTCCTAATTAAACCATCATAGAACATAGTGTATATTTCTGTGCATATACAGTGGAACCTCGGTACTTGAACAGCTCAGTACTCGAATTTGGTATTCGAATGCTTTGTTCGGTAAACAAATTACTCTGTAGTTGACCGTTTGCTTGGCACTCGACCAAACAAACACGACTGGCCAGAACTTCACTGTAAGGTATTTTGTGTTTCTTTGCATTTTTTGGTATTTTTTTATATTATTTGCATAAATATGACAGTATGGGGCCTAAGAGGGTTAGTGATAACAGCCAACCAAGAAGAAAATTGGTTGGGAAAAATTCGTTCTGTACTTGAACAGATCGGCACTCGAACAGCCTTCTGGAACCAATTAAGTTTGAGTGCTGAGGTTCCACTGTAGTTGACTTTATTCTCTAAAGTATTCTTTATTAGTATGAAGGTGAATTTTCAGCCTTAAATAACTGACTTGATAGACTTTACACCTGACAAGCTAACACAAGATATTACATAAAGTTGTTCTCTTCAGTGATGAACAAGTAGAAGACATTGTAAATTTCCAAATGTTCTAGGAAGGTATCTTTGGTTAATTGTACCATTTATGTAGAGGGAAAGGTGCCCCCATAGTATAGGATTATATTGATGTCACTTAACAGCTTACATAATAGTCAGGAAGCAGGTGCTCCAAATAGTCTTATCTATTATTAAAGTTACTATCTGTTAGGTTACACAAGGTCATGTTGAAGACAGTATCAAGTGTTAGGTCTCAGGAGAAATATTTCCTGATATAAGTCAACCATAAATATTATAAATCATGAGTTACTCTTTAGTCATAATGTCAACAAGTCTCTTGTTAGCAACAAAGATTGCTTTCTGTGTAGTTAGAATTTTCTTGTATGTCACTTCCTTGTGTAGGAACTACCAGTATTCTGCCTGACTTGGCACTTGGAAAGTTAGCTGTCAGTCTGTTTTATTATGTTTGCATATAAAACTTGGCACTTGGAAAGTTAGCTGTCGGTCTAAGTTTTTCTATGTTTGCTTTAAAAAAACTTCAAAAATGGTTTGGTTGGAAAAAAAAAAAATTATAAAACAAATTTTTAAACAAAATCTTAAAAGCAACTTTGAGATTTTTTTTTTTTTAATTTCACGGGCCCATACCCACTGGACAGGGTGCCCTAAAAAAAAATTTTTTCCCTTTTTAAATTTAGAAATTTTATAAGAGGGGGTACTGCCCCTTGGGAAAAACTTGCCTTAAAGAAAAGTTTTAAATTTCTTGCAAGAAATTTAATCTGCACAAAAGGATGATTTAAAGGGGTGTTAAAAAACTTGTGGAAAAATGTGAGGGAAAAGGACCCCTGGGGAAGGTGGTTCAACTTGGGGGAGAGTTATTGTCTTTCTGTTTTGGGACAAAAGAGTTTTTTCAGCCCCCTCAGGATAAACTGGGTATGTAAGGTCAAAATAACCACCATACACCCTTTTTCATGCACAGCTGTGCATCGTACACTCCTGCGTTTTACCCCCTCTTTACCCTTGCACCCCACTGTACCACTAAATTTACTCTCTTGGGTTTGTGTTAATTTGTTTTTTAAAAAGAGGCAAGAGTGCGGGCCTGTCATTTTATTTGGGGGGCAAAAAAAACTGTGGTGAGTGTGTGGGGGCATCTTTCCCACTATTTTTGTGCACAGACTGGAAAAAATTTTGGTAATTGCTCAAGTACTCTCCAACCCTGCTCCATTCTTACAGAAGTTTTGGGGTTACCATAGCATTTGTTTATCACTTTATGTGTTTCAGGGCACATCTTTTCCCTCATTTTTTAGCCCAAAATTTAGAGGAGGTCGACACCTCTTCCCCTTTGACTGCGGGGCCGTTTTTTTTCGTCTTACGGGGGTACCTTTTGACGTATAAACTCAAAATTCTAGGGGCTTCAAATCAAGAAAGAAAAAGCGGGGTGGCCACATGTGAGGAATGGGTCTGTGTGGTCAGGTTCACCATAAAAAAAAAAACCCTGGAGCTGCAGTCCCATAATGAAAAAAAAAACCCCCAAACCTTTTTTTTTTAAATTTAAAAATGCGATCTGGGGGTCTATTTTCGTATAGTATTTAGGTTTATTCTCGTTTTTTTGGGGTCTCTTTTGATAGAAGGGGAAAAAAAAAAATTTAAAAAAGAGGTGTTTTTGATTGATTTTACTATAAAAAAACCCTAAAAATGGACCCAAAGTAGGGAAATGTTTTTTTTTTCCCAAATGTTAAAAGTAAACAAATGTGCCATTGTCCAATAAAGGTCCAACTAGCCATTCAAATATGAGTCATGAATGGGTTGATATTATTGACAATTTTACAGTATTGCAGTAGCTGCATAATATAAGTTTCTATTTTTGTTTGAAAAAAAATTTCAAAATAAAAAGCAAGAGTAATGGGGGCCTGGAGCGTGCTGAGAGCAAAGAAAATTTTATTTAGACCCGGAATGTCGTTGTTCATTCTGGCCTTTTTTTAAAATTGTCTATTTTTTAGTTTTCTTTGAAACGGGCCAAAATTGCAAATTTCTGACCACATTATTAGGTAGTTAAATCGGTAAATGGGATTTCTTGTACCAATCGATAGAAAAAATGGAGTTCTAAAAAAAATAGTTGATTTTGGGTGCTGGAACGGGGAATTTACCCAAAAATAGGCCAAAGTGGGCAAAAATCCCGATTTGTAAACAGCCCGAGGTCGTAAATTGCGAGAGTAATTCCCATTTTTAAATTTTTGTTTTTTTTGGGGTCATTACAACGGGAAAAGATTTTCATAATTTCTAAAAAAAAATATTTTTTTTTTTTTTTTTAAATTTTTTCGACACCAGGAGACGCCCCAGGATTTGGGGGTTTCGCAGTCAAAGGGTTAAATTTCCTTGTCATGGTGAGGAACTTTTTACAGTCCCCTTTATGCTCCCCAGATCAACATTTACCTGTGCCACCAGCAGCCCTGGGGCCCGATGACATCCATATCTGTATGCTTAAACTTGTTCTTATATCACTTGTTTGCCATTTTTATCATTCAATCCTTTGGTTCCCCGGGGGGTTTTTCTCTTCCAGAAAGCCCCCATTCTCACCTTTACTTTAAAGGGTATTTTTGGGGATGCACTTTGTTGCCCCTTGTTTACTGGCAATTTTTAAATGTCGTCCTTGTAATAAAAAATTTTGAAATCCAAAAAAATTTTTTTTTAATTTGGGTTTTTAAATGGCCACATACCATCGACCTTTAACCTATTTGGGGAGAATGTTTGCAATGCCCTTGCTAAAATCGACTGATTATTGCAATTTTTTTTTATCTTTTAAAAAGTTCCTCTTCAAGGGGGGCTCCTTGGCGTGGTGAAAAAGCTCTGGTTAGGGAAATTTGAACTGTCGGTCTCCTTCTCAGCCAAAAACCCAATTCCCCCCCCCCCCCGTTCCCCATCCACCCCCCCTTTTTCCTTTTCCCTCCCCCTCCCACCCCTCCCTTTTGCCCCCCTTTTTGGCCTTTGGTTTTTTTTTTTTTCTCCCACAGGGACGCTATTCCCAGGTAAAGGGGAAAGGGGGACCGGGGTCCCTCCCTTCCGTTGAGTTTTTGGCGGTGGCATGTTTGCCGGGGAATCGGATTTCCTGGGGAGTCCCGTCCCTCTCTATCCCCGAGGGGGGCTTTGGGGTCTCTCGGGGGGACGGGTGACTCTGGAAGCCACCTTTTTGGATTCCGGGGGTGGTGGTGAAAGGGGGATGCTTTTGGCGGATATCCGGCCGCCCCTCTTTTGTCCCCTGAGGTGCCGGGGAGTGTGAGGTTGCTATCCCCGGGTTTCTGGTTTATGGCATAAAGGGTAGGTATGGCCGGGTTCCTGCTGCATCTGCGCTACTACGGTGAGAGGGCTCTTGGGGCCCGGGGGGAGATTTCGGCCCCTTTATTCTCCTGGGAAACTATTTCCCCCGCTCCCCCCCTTTTTTATTTTTTTTTTTTTTTTTTATTTCTTTTCTTTTTTTTTCTTTAAAAAAAAAAAAGCAAGGAGTAACCTAACCATGGGAGCCCTGTCCCCGAACCCCCACCCCGGGCCCCTTCTTTATACCGCACCCCCTTCTGACCTTGCCCTTTTGTTTAGACCATCTTTTTGGACCCTCCTGATGCCCCCGTCCCTTGCTGGTGCTGTTTCCTCACCCGCTTTTAGGGACCGGGGGTTGATGACCCTTCGATTTGTTGAACTCCGTCTCCTTTGACTAGCTTCCGGTTCCCCTCTACGGTACGGTAATTTTCAAACGCCCGCCCCTTTCACGCCGGACCAACTCCGGGCCCACCCTAAAGCCACCGCAATCTTTGTGATGCCTTGTTAAACTTTTCCCTTCTATCAAAAAAAACGACACGTCAAGCACTCCCTCTCCCCCAGTTTTTTGGACAAACAATGGGCTAAATTCTTTACTTTAAGACCGACTTCTTCTTCTGCCTACCTTTCTGACCATAGTATTGGCAAGCGCTCCTGCGTCATTTTGGTAGAGATATTTCATTTCATGCTCTCAAGAGCGGTATGCGCATTGTCACTGTCCAGAATGCTACCCAAGCTCATGATCTTTCTCTCCTTTCGAATATCGATACTCCCTCCTATCACTATTGAAAAACATCCTTTCTCTAAATTCTTGTAGTGGTACTGTCATTTGCCCCATACCATATCCCAAACAGAATTTCCAGTCATGTGGTAATGACATTTTTGAACAGCTGGACTCCAGGATCTCCCAATCCTCAAAGTAGACACTTATGTCCTTTCCCTGCCCGGGGGGCGGAGACATTACCCTTGCAATGTGGCTCGTTTAACTTTTGACAGCCGAGAACTCCCGTCCTCTGTATATGTCGCGGGACATCGGTTACAAGTTGAAAGGTGATACCTACCACCTCAACAATGTAGAAATTGCTGGCGTTTTGGTCACCCAGCGAAATATTGCAGATCTATGGCCGAATGCCCAGTCTGTGGTGCCAGACGACCATTCTAATACATCTTGCAGTCAACCTCCATCTTGCCTTAATTGTAATGAAGCTAACCCTTCGTACTCCCGCCGTTGCCAGGTCTACTTAAATGAACGTAAAATCGTTGCCTCAAAGATGGCAGAAGGTCTCCCTTATGCTATGGCAGTTACTCATCTCCGCCTCCAAGGGAGACCCCCGTGTTTCTTATTCT